GAGGGGGGGAACCAGGAAAACCATGCGAACAAGTACACGTGCCAATGTCTTCATCTAGATCTATAGCTCAGTCCACCAGCAGATTTCCCAGGCTCTGTCCCTCTCAACACAAGTGCCTTGTGCCTGAGGTGACAGTTGAACCTGGACAGAAAACAAAGGACCTAAAGAAGCATAAACTGAATCCTAAACCTGCTCTCCATCGTGTGGGCAGAAATCAGTTTAGGAACAACATGGGGAACTTCTCTTCTGATCCAACCAACCTTGAGATACTGCTCAGCCTCACAGGGGAATGGCTGGACTCTCCCCACTCTCCTTACTATGATGCCCTGCTTATTTCACAGGGTGGAATGTGCCTGTGTTATTTCTCAAACTATTCTCCTGAAGCCACCAAAGCATTCCTCTGCTTGTTCAGCATCTTATAGCACTAGCACATGCCACCACAGTCATTACAAAATCCCACAAAAGAGACTTGCCCATGTATCTCAGCTCCCTGTCTTTAGCTATTGCCTCTGAAGGTCCAACCAAATATTTCTCTTTGCAAAACACCCGAGAGACTTACAGATTTGAGAAAATTATCATAGTGCTATAACCAGTGACAAAAAACCCCATGTGTGCTCACTATAGCTGCAGAAAGTCTAAGAGCTTTAGTTTTTGCCCAGCACTGTGACAAAGAGGGAAATCCTGGCCCCACTGATTGACAGAACAACCAGAACACTACTCTGAGCATGGTCAGTCCAAGATTTTTATCTTGCCTTGCAGGTCCTGGGCCAGCGGAGCAGCAGAGTCTGTGCCAGCCCTCCCAGCAAGGCTCCGTGTGCAATATCAGGACTCGCTGGGACACACAGTCTGCGGGGCGAAGTCAGCCTTACCCTGACGTTATATATTCCAAGTGTCTCATCTTGGAATCGGACAGGTCTAATGAAAAAGACAAAAGGTTCCCGGGATAATACAAACAAAACCGAACAAACAAAAACCCCCTTGTTTTTCATGTCTACTCATTTGAGACCCGTATCCTCCTGTCCTGCCTCTTCCTTCCCTCCTCACTGGCTACCAGAGCCTTTTCTCCAGACACACAATACATTTGGTCTATAAAGAGAGCATTCTCCATGTACAGCTGCGTTGGAGCAACTCTCAGAGGCTCTGAAGCGCAGCCAACATGCAGAAATATAAAACCCAAGAGGACTGAGTCTTGTTTCACCTGAGATGGGTTTACCTTACACAGAGCACTGTTCTCTAAGAGAGCTGACCATTTCCACTCAGCCATAAGAAACACATTTTTGACAAGATGTTTCTGGACTCAAACCTAACCAGAGACTCTTGATTTTGTGGGGGTTTTTTAAACATTTTGCTAAAAAACCCTGATGCCCTGTATTTCAGCAATATCCACAACAGCAGAATTTTTTTCTCAGTTCCAAAAGAGAAAAAATATGGATTAAAACAGAACACAAAACAAATGATAAAACACTTATGTGCTGCTGGTAGGTACTCAGATATGATGATTATAAGTGCTGAATAAAATTCCTGAAGAGAACAGAAGATAATAGAGAGGGGATGAGCTCCACAGTGCAGCAGGATGAAAGCAAGAGAGCTGTGCTAGACTCCCTGCAACCCACGACAGTTTCATGCCAAATACATAGCCCTGTAATTTGAAATTCCCACAATGAAGAACACACATATAGTATTTCCAAAGCAAGTTACAGAGGCATCCTGGAAATACCAGGGCAGCGCACAAGGGGACTGTATCCTACAATGTTATTCCAAAACATGAACTAATATGGCAGGCAGTGTGCTTGGCTGGCATTTGGGAAACACACCACATCTATGTTCTGTGGCCTTCTTCACGGCCAGCTGGCTTTGAGATGGGATCAGAAGCATTAGCCCCACCTAAAAGAACCCATCTCTGATTGAACTGCCACAGTGGTAATCAGCCATGGTGCTCCTCTGAGGGTTGGTGTAGCAGAGGGTGAATGAGATTTGAAATGCCCTTTCTTCCCCTGAACTCCAATAATTCAAAAATTGGTTTAGCTGTAAGGCTTGGGCTAAAAAGACAGAGAAGTGCTACGCTAACTCATCCTTGTAGAGAATTACAATGTCTGTCCTGAAATGTGATACACCACAGGACAGTTTCCTTCTCCCCTTTGGTTTATATCAATAACCTGTGCCTAAATCAAAACATGGAAAAATGAATTGGGAAGAGAAAGGACACATGCATGCATTATAGCAGTGGGTATTACCTACATCCAAAAAAAGGAGTTATTTGGTGGGGGTTTTTTAATTAAAAACACCATCATTTCTTTACTGTTATTTCTTAAATCATTGTGAACTAAGAAAGGAGTCTATTAACTGCTTCTAAATTGTGCATTCACCGGAGTAAGGCTTGTATTTGAAGCAGTATCTGTTTCTTGCTAATGACTGCAATATTCCCTTTGCCAGTACTCATAGTGTATGTAACCTTATAGTTTAGCAATTTATACAGTGCTTTCTCTTCTTCTTCTAACTTTGTTTAGTGCATGATATGCAAGTTTACTCTCACATAGGACAGCTGGTCTACATTCGCAGACAGAAGAAAATTGTGCATGTTAACTATGTGGCTAAAACCTGCTGGAAGCATAAAGAATAGCCAGAGCAGCTTGGAACAAAGCAGGTAAAGAAAATGGGATATAGAAACACCTGATTTGATACATACGACAAGCCTTTATTAGGGTTGAGTTTAACATCCTGCTGTTGGCTAGAGCCAGCACATATGCGAAGGAAAAGGAAGCTCTCTTCTTCCATGTGCCTTGCTAACTGTCCTTTACAGGGGAAAGATATTTTTCCTCATTTTTATGGTGCTTAGCTCATTCAGGGAATTATAAGACTGAGTCTATATTCCATCAGCTTATGTAACTAATGGTTTTTAAAATGACACAGCCACAGCACTTGTCTGTTCACCTCTGTGAGATGATCCACGCATCATACACAACTGCTCCTGCATTTACTTTCTCTAGTAATCCCATTAGCACAGTGCAGAATAGTCCCTCAGACATTATTTCAATAACTCTTCTATGTTCAGGCTTCGTGCCGTTTGTCACTTGTCCTTTGCACTCCTACCTCTTCTTAATTACCGTCTTCATGCTCCCTCCACGCACCCGTGAGAAGCCCTAGCCTGAATCATGCTCCTATTGATGCTACTGGGCACATCCCAGTTGATGGGACCATAATGGGTTTTTGTCCTTTGTTATACTGTCAGGGCAATTTTTTTAAAGAGCTTCATTCAGATAAACAAAATGTATTCTGCTTTCACTGTCTCGCTTTGATGTGACAAACCTTGAGCTCTCTTCTTGTGCTGAGCCAAAGTGACTGGAGCATGCAAGACTGATTTTTGCAGTTTTCTACTTTTGGTTCCACAGTCAGAAGAATCTATTGCAATGGGTTCATGGAACAAACTGACCTAGCTTTGTTTCTCTTCAGATCTGCACTGACCTCTTTAGATTAAATGCGATGTCTCATCCTAAGTGACTCACTCCTATAGCTAGCTAAATTCAAACTGTTCTCTCTAAAGCTTGCAATCTAAACAATACATTTTATTATCACAGCTATGTGGACATTAGTTAAAACAACTTTACATTCTGAAAACAACTACATGATGTGCTGGTTTATGTGGTTTTGGCAAGAACATTGCACTTTTTCTCTTTAAGCACTGTCACCTCTTGCTCCCAAACACGGCTGCTGTACTAACAATTAGCAGGTCAGGCCAGTAACGCTGCTGAAGAGTTTACAGAAAGCCATTCCTAGACACTGGCAGGGAAACAGATTCCTAATAAGGCAGCCAAAGCTGCCCTGTGCAATGGGACGATACCCAGACCCCACATCAGGCTGAGTTCATGAAGTACCTACAGAATCCTCTATGAAACACAGCACTGTTCTGTGAAATGATGTATTTCATGCTCCTCCTGCCTGTGGACTCCTCTTTATATTTGACTCCCTGAAGCCTCTAGAAGCAAGCACTTACACTGTGAGCTTGCACCCCCAGAACTACCCAAGCTACTGGCACACAGCGAGAGGACAGGCTATTGTCCCAGCCCAGCATATAAGGGCCAAGGAGATCATAAGTCTCCCTTCCTAAACAGAAGCAGCAAGGGACACAGAAGATCATCACCAATCCCCACCCTTCCAGTTCCCTCTGCCCAGTTTGGGTCTCAGTGCCAAGCTTGCTCAGAAGTCCAGCACCCTTAACAAGAAGAAAGTTACTCTCTCTCCAGCTCCTCTCTTATAAATACTGTATTTTGCTACAATGCTTTTAATGATCTGCAATAATTCTCTGTGCTTCCACCGAGGATATCAAAGCACCCGAAAATCCCTTTCCTTCACCTTTTCTGGCACGTTAAAAGAAAACCAGAGGGACGGAGAACTTACATGTCTTCGAATCCAAACCTCTGCTCAAAAATCTAGACCCTGACTGTCCATGATAAAGTAACCGGCTGGTGGGAGGACAGCACATCATTCTGAAAGACTATACTCTTAAAACATCATCCATTAACACCTTTTTGAAATTACCTTTGAATAAAGTATACACGGCAACCAAAATAACTTGTCAGCAATGCACTGAGAGTCTCTCACTGTCTACAAAACCAGGCTCAATCACCTTTCTTTGTCTCAGTCACAATTTCCTGTTACCTTGAAGAGTGAAATGCTAAAAAAATTAAAATTAAAAAAAAAAAAATAAAAATCACACAAGACAGTTCCCACTCTTCTTTAATCAGTAGAAAAAGCTAGAGCAGAAGATAAGCTCTCTGGCATTCTGGGGAGTAAAATTTAGACTGCATGCCGCTTATCAGTGATTAGATATTCCCTGTTATTTTTCAGATATTCAGGCAAATGATCTTCACATGCACAGGTAGGCCGGTACATACTGAGATTCTTAGATATGCCCATAATTGTGATAATCAAGTTAAATAAGTTACCATGGAAAGCCTTTGAGAAATGTATAAGTTATATTTCTATCATTAAAAAGGACTTACCTTCAAGGACTCCCAGAGGGGAAATTGTACCAGAGAGAAAGGAATCTGGAGAGGTGAGAAAAGAAAAAAACCAACAACATAATGTTACAAAAGCAAATTAGGCTGGTGTGTTCCTCAACTGGCTAAATTAGGAACAGTTATTGTTCACTCAGTGAACTGTAGCTTATTACATTTACAAATCTTTACGGACACTTTATGTATGATGCCATTAAATGACTGGTTTCACTAAAGCAGTTTTACTTTGTTTATCACATTCCCTGTTGAGAGGTTAATGTATTGTTACCAGGGTGGCCTAGAAGAGCAATAAGCAGTATGATCTAGTGCAGGGACATTCTTGGTTTGACGCTCAGCCAAGAAAGCCATAAGGGTGGTTCAAGAAACACGTTCCCAAGGCCAGGAACACAGCTTGGCAAAAAAACTATCTTCAGCAATACACACTCTCACAAGTGCTGAGCTGAAAACAGTTGTGCTCCAACCAGGGCTTTGCAGTTGTGCATCAGCTGCAGAAGCTTTCCTGAACATCTCCTAGTGATCGCACATTAACAAGCTCCCTTGAGAATTAAAAGCAGGTTGTGAAGATCTACCACAATCCAACTAAAGTCCAAGGGAGAAGCTTGGTGATTCTCTTCTCATCACCTATAATGAGAGGTTCTTCTGTCCAGCAACAGCCTGTCTCTACCCAGGCTCATTCCTGTCTATGTCTCCCCAGCAATGCCTGTGCACTTCCAGCTCCTCTGCAGATTTTGCCCTGATAAATGCCTCAATCTTAACACTAGGGAAGAAAAGCAAACATACATCTCTGTCAGCTCTGTAGGCTATGCAGGGCTAACACATGTAGTAAGTTTTCACCGTGAGCAGAGCAATTCTTTGCAACAAGAGACAACACTTTCCAAGGTTATGCCTTCCCTTGTAGTTTCTTCCTCCTCCAATCTCTCCTCTAAGTTTTTCTGGCTCTTCCTCCTCCTCCACCACTCTGACAAGCCCTGTCCAATATCCACCTCTGGTATCGACCCTGCATTTGCTATCTCCAGCCCAAGTAGCTATCTCAAGATGTCTCAGAAAAAGCAGTCCCTACGAAAATACTATCCTGCATTAGAATTGCCCTATAGCCCTATCTGTAGGTCTGTGCTGCCCCTTCCTAGATGCTTCCCCAGTTATCTCTTCTGCTTCAACTGCCAGTCGGCCCCAGTTTCACATCTTCTTCCATGAATCTATTTTATTCACCTATACTCTTACCTTCCTTCCCCAAACACGATATATGTCGGGTTAGGTTTCCCCCTTATTTGCAGTTCGTGTATCATTTTAGTCTCAGAAAGCACTTATCCACCTTCTGCCATGAAAAGTAGTAGACACTCAAAATGGGCCACATTTAACTAACACATAAATCTTTGCTTTTTGTAATGTGGGTAATGTCAGGTTAAAAACATTCACTAGAGATATGAACAGCTTATTAAACCCAAATTCAAGCTACACAAAGGAATGTGAAATGGTACATCCATTCAACATCACAAGAGTTAAAGAGTATTGTCTGCTTCACTGTGTTGCAACTAATGATTAATAAATGAGTCTATTAAGTTAATCTGCCAGGCAAAACTAAGCTTGACAGACACCTGCCACAGAAAATTTGTTATCTATTCAGGCAGGAAATGGCAGTGAGAAGAAATCAATGTCACTGCTGTACACTGAGCTGACAAACTGAAATCTCATGGGAAGTTTGGCATCTTAAACAATGAGCAATATCCCTGGTGGCATCTCAGAGCCCCACAACAAAGGTCAGACATGAATCTTATTTATCAGGGCCTTGAAACTGTTGTGTAGCAATTAAATTTCATTTTTAACACTGAGTGAAAAAGTCCAGCTATTTGACAGTAATGTGTGGTAATATATTTATGACAAGATATATATCCACATGCTGCTGCATCATTGTTGAATTGGAGTTAAATGGCATGATTTCTTTGCAACGTAAAATGAAAAGCAACATAATTTCTATTATCTAGGCCAAAATATAGGGAAAAAAATAAACAATACCCACTACATTTGCTTCAAATTTGTTAAAAAAGAGAAAAGGAAATGCTCTGTATCCAGCTGCACACCAAACAAAACAAGCTTTCAAACACAGTCTCCAAGTTCTGCTTTTTTATGCTTGTGAATGAGTGGCAAAATTATGCAGCTGTTAATAAGACAACAAGGGCAGCTTTCGACATAAACCCCTTTTTATCTCCTAGCTAGAAGCTTTTCAATCGAAGAGGAAGTTTGTTCACGACTGCTGTTTGATTTTTGGTGTTAGTGGTGTTTGCTTTCCATGTTCCACTCAGCAGGGACCAGAACTGGATGGGGATTATCGATTTCATTTCTCCCTGGGCACCCCACGAGATGCTGCAGTGTGCAGGCTTCCAAAACGCCTGGGAAGATTTCAGATGTGTGTCAGGATCTGCACAGCCACTGGGCTCCCTCCTCTCTAGGACACCTGCAGGGTAAGGGCCTAAACATTCATAAGTCCCACGTTATTTAATAGAGTTTGAAAATTTGCAAAAAACCAAACAAACTAGGAAGCACCACCAAGAAAAACAAGCAGAGCAGCACTTTTGTCTGCACTAAGAAGATCTTAAGGAGACATCCTCCGTATCTTACAGTCATCCATTGGAGCCTATTTGACAACATCCTGACTTAAAAATAAAACCTGCACAACTGATTTCATGGGTACTGGATTGAAAGGGAGTCTGGCTTCCTGTGGATTTGTTTTTTGTCATCAGTTTCTCTGAAGTCAAATAATTTCCAAGCAGGGTTTGGCACTCTTCCCATGACAGGGACTCCATCACATTTCACCTCTTCCACAGTGCATGTTGAAAGTTCAGTTCCTATTGCAAGCCTTCCCTCAAACCCCTTAATCACCTTTATTCTCCTCTCACACACATATTTTCAAGAAACTTATAGGAGCTCCTGTTTACCCTTGCAGCCTGTGCCTTTCTGCCACATTTCCATGCCAACATGTCCAAGGGCTGCGCAGGCTGCTGTGCGTTCATGTGTGCATACACCCTGTTTGCATAAGCCTTGTTTCCCTAAGAGACCAGACTAAACAGCTCACACCCAAAAGCAGGACTAATATATGCAAAAAGAAATAGAAATAGTTCTGCAAGGGTAAGTCATTCAACAATGGAAAAGCCTTTAGATGGCTTATTGCCCTTTATTCCTCTACCATGACAGATGTGACAAAATCTCGCAGTCTGAGGATACTTCTTAATTTGAAGATTTACAGCATTTCATTCCTTTTCATATTTTGCTTTTTAAAAGAAAAGCTCTTCAGCAACGAACAGAATCACACCCTGCCAGGCAGTGATATTTATGCCTGAAATAGGCTAAGGCAACAATAAAAATGTGGTCCACACATGTGGGTAACTTTCTGCCAGCAAATATGAAACCCTGGCGAGCTCCACCAACCTCTCATTCAACGTTAATATAAAATAGACAGAGAGTACCAGTTCTCATGTCTGGCCTAATGTTATATAACTGTGCTGTTTGTTCAACAGAGTAAACTCTTACACACACAAGAAAAAGAAATTTAAAGCCCCCAGACAGCTGTAAATCATTATTCTAAACTGTTTTATAGGTTAGTGAAATTATCATTTGCTCTGGTCCCTGCAGTCCTTAGCACCTGATGCCTAGCTTAATGGAATGAACGTTACAGATTCTCATTTCTACTGATCTACTTAATTCCCCTGATATAGAAGGATTTTAAAAGATTATCTGTAATAAGTTACTTCTAGAAATAGTTGTACTTCACAACCAGGGCAACAGATACACACAGCTCCACTTCTAAAAAAAATACCAACCTGCAAGTACTGAAGATTGATGACGGAGCAAAAGTCTTCCCACCAAATACTGTTTAGTTAAATAAAAGAAATTTAAGGAGGAGCTTAATAATACTCTTTTAACTACAACAAAACATTTTAAAGAAACTCAAAATTCACCAGTTAATATCTGATGCTAAATTGAAAGCTGACATTGTCCCAAAGGAAACAGAACATGCTCTCCTTGCTCCCTGGCTGAAGGAGTGGCAAAGAAGGGGGGGGGGAGAACCAAAAGAAAAAAAACAAAAAACCAAAAAAAACCAAAAACCCCCAACTCAGCAGCTCCTTCAGGACTGGGATTCCCTTCCAAATATGAGAATTCTTTCACACAAAGAGGAAACAGATGTCCATGGCTGGAATTTGCATGTGGCTTTATTCTCTTCTAGGATACAATAAAACTACTCTTCTTCTCATCCTCCAAGCTAGAAATTAAACAGTGGCATGTCATGCAGAGTCCAGCTGTGCTTTCTACCTCCAACCTTTATTAGCAATATATTTAAAAAGAAGAAGAAAACAGAGAGACAGAAAGAAAGGGAGAAACTAGAAAAGCATAAGAAATGAAAAAGTATGTGGTATGTGTTCTCAAAACAATGTAAGACCTACAGATGTTCTTACTAATCTGTGGCACATGTTTGTTTATTCAGGTTTTCCCTGTCTCCAGTTCAGCGAGCCTTGCTGCCCAGAAGAGCTATCTGTTTTTACAAATGTTAGAGTAAATACTGAAAGAGAGATTGGTGTAAACAACCAGATGAGGAAACAGGCTCACCTTGTAAGATCTTTCTCAACATCCCTGAAACTGTACCTCCGTCCCAGAAACTGCTCTCACCCATACCTACACTTTTCCCTACATTAAGAGCAAGGGAAGAAAAGGCAACAGTTATGAAGAGAATCTGGACAGTGCAAATATCACAAAGGCCATCAGCAAGAGCATCTGTTCCCTTCAGGGAGATCGTGCTGCAGTCATCACGAAGTAGTTCTCAAACTTGCACCTAACCTGTCACTTGCACACACTTTGACAGGGCTCATGGAAATGCTCTCACTGTTGAAGCCTGTATTTACAAGGAGTACTCCACCACAGTGTCTGAGCTGCAGGTGCCAAACTGCCTTCTCTGGTGTAATTACAAAGAAAAAGTCTAATAACCCACTTCTGAGTATCAAAAAAAAAATACAGTTTTCCAAGGATACATAAATCACAAG